GACAATGGCTGGGCCATAGGAGCCTGTGGGTGATGTCACTGCTCCAGAAAGAGCTGAAGTGCTCCCTTACAATCCATAAGTGAGCAGCTGCTCCAGGGGAGAGGAGGGAATGCTGACAATGGCTGGGCCATAGGAGTCTGTGGGTGATGTCACTGCTCTAGAAAGCGCTGAAGCGCTCCCTTACAATCCAATCTGGTCTGGTCACATGATCCTGCATCTGCTCTCCTGTGCCAGTGAGCAGCTGCTGCAGGAGAGAGGAGGTACGACCAACAAGGGCTGGGTCATTGGAGCCTGTGGGTGACATCACTGCTCCTGAAAGTGTTAAAGCGCTCCCTTTCAATCTGATTTGGTCCAGTCACATGATCTTGCAGCCCCTGCTCTCCTCTGTCAGTGAGCAGCTGCTGCAGGGAGAGAAGGGAGAACTGACAATGGCTACAAGGAAGCCTATAGGTGATGCCACCACTCTGGAGAGCACTGGAGCGCTACCTTGCACAGAGCTGCAGGATCATGTGCCTGGAACTGAGTAGACTGAAAATAGTTTGCAGATCTTTTTTTCATATAGGGTAGGCAGAATAGGTGGTTTGGCTGAACATTTTTAGAAATAGCTATAGTTAGGGTTTTCTTTGACTTTGAGCTCATGCATGCTGAGTGATGTGGCAGTAACCCTTCCAGGTATTATTCCCTCTCACAGAGATCACAGGACTCCCCCTGACAATGCCTTCATCTGCTTTTCTCTCCAAAAGAATGGCACCACTTATGTTTGGGCATCACCCATGGTCACCATCCACTTCTTGCAGCAGGGGATGATCTATTTCAGACCTTTGTGAACAAAAGATGCACAGGTACCAGGATGTATATGATTGCATCATCTCAGGAAGTAGATGGTGACTCTGGATGATGTTTGAACAAAGATGGCGCCGTCCTTCTGGAGAAAAAAGCAGATGAAGGCATTGTCAGGGGGAGTCCTGTGATCTCTACAACGGTTAAGAAATATCTGGAAGGGTTCTTTCAGACAGACGGTCAGCTTAGCACCCTCTGCAGCTGCCACAGCATGTGTACAGCCCTTTAAGGCTGTAAAGTGTGAATTCAGTTGGCGGCTGGGGGGGGTGATAAAACCACGACTCAGCCACCACTGCTTTCCACCTGCTGGCCCCCCGCATAAAAGCCAGAAGTGTTACACTGGCAAATTACATTGAAGCATGCATAGTTACATATAGTAGCATAGTAAGGTTGAAAAAAAGACACAAGTCCATCTGGTTCAACCAAAGTAAAAAAGACACAAGTCTATCTAGTTCAACCAAAGTAAAAAAGACACAAGTCCATCTAGTTCAACCAAAGTAAAAAAGACACAAGTCCATCTAGTTCAACCAAAGTAAAAAAGACACAAGTCCATCTAGTTCAACCAAAGTAAAATAGACACAAGTCCATCTAGTTCAACCAAAGTAAAATAGACACAAGTCCATCTAGTTCAACCAAAGTAAAATAGACACAAGTCCATCTAGTTCAACCAAAGTATTTGGTGGCCTTTGATGGCCTCTGTAATACTCCGATTATTCGATCCTACATCTTTATGACTACAGTATTTGCACTTTCCATCTTGTTGAGTCTTGTTTATAAGCCTGAGTCTGGGAGTAAGACGACACCAAAGCTCCAACAGATGCTGCCTCCTCGGTTGCCTCACATGCTGTTCTTAGAAGCTGGAAGAAGTTGTATTCGGTCAAGTAGGGTTCCGTCGCTCAACTTGTCTCAACTACATCTGTTCTTGGGAAACCCAACCAAAGCACCTAGTCCCATCAACCGTTCTACTCAAGAGTCTCTCAGAGCTGTCTGGTCACTCTTTTTGGTGAGGCACCAATGTAGATGTAGCGCGTTACTTAGAAGTGTTGGAACCGTAAGTGTTCTTCACTGTAAGTGAGCGTAATGGCCAGTCTCTTCCCAGCCTGCTGATTGAACAATGAAGGAGCATCTCAAAGATTTGGGGATCGAGGAAAATTATTTTTTCTGGACCTGGAGCCTGGAGGTAAATATAATGTAGAATTATACTCATCTCAACCAGACCTAGACACTATTTTGACCTGGAGTTTTTCTTTTATTGCATGACAATGAGGATTGGTGGGCCAGTTTAGTATACAACTGCAAAGTCTATTTATGTATGTCTGTATATATCCATTCAGTCATGACCAACTCTTACTAATTTTAGGAATACCATATTCGATACGCTTGAAAGTCTTCTGTAATACAAGGGAGGTTGCCAGATCTTTTCTCAACCCTCCTCAACTGCTCAGCTTGGGACTGGCATGCAGAACGCACAGTGCGGTGCTGACAACAAAATACAGTGAACCAAAAAAAGTGCATGTGAACACACACACAAAAAAATGCACTTAAGGTATATCATATGGGTCCCTACCAAAGAGGAAGGACCCCCTCCCTGACTCCCTGGGGCACAAAACTCATGACAGGGGCAAGGCACACTGGTGGACCCCACTCCTCATGGTCAGCCAAAGGTGACCAACGAGTACTAGGTGTAGGGGTTTTCCTGGGGAGAGACCCCCCAAGAGCCACACATCCTCCCCCTAGACTTCAGGGTAGGTCCAAAGACCCACACCCTACAATCCAAGTGAAAAAAGATACATACAATAAGTGCAGGTAATGCACACGTGGAGAGTAAATAAATCAGAAAAGAGTGTGTGTGCAGGTGCAGTGGCTAGGCCTTGTGGCCTCGTAACAAACAGTGCCCTGGTCTTGGCCAAAAGGCCTAGCTCATGAGGCATGGTGCAGGGAAAAAGCTTTAAGGGGTGTGCCTAGTACAGTTTCACACAGTGGGGTCCCAAACCATAGTGCTACTCTAACACCCCCAGGATGCCACTCCCTGGGGGCACCTAACACCGCAGGCTTGGTCCTCAGTCAAGCAAGGTGGCAGAGCTCAAATCAGTTTGCACTGGGGCTCTCTGAACCCTCCAAACCAGGGAAATACTTCCGAGTTCCACCTCACCCAGCGCATGCTTCATTTGTTTTTTTTTTCCTATGGGGAAGACCCTCAGGTCTCCCATGATACCAGCAGGGATGCTATACAGCCACCCCCCCCCAGCTGGAAGACCAGAATGATGGTGGAGCGTGCCTACTGTACACTGATAAGAACAGATAGTACACTTGATCGAGTCATATTGGGGTCAATTAGGGTCAACAGAAAGCACAGGGAGAACATGCAAACTCCATGCAAATAGGGTCCTGGCTGGTGATTGTATCTAGGATACCACTGGTGCAAGGCAAAAGTGCTAACCACTAAGCCACTGTGCTGCCACAACGTGTATAATTGCTACTTTGTTGTCTATGAAAAGCACCTTGATCATTTCTTGATACAGGTTTAACTGGAAAATTACTTTTTATTCCAAACATTGTATCAACAACCAACTTCAGCTGGAATTTATGATCAATTTTCATTTTGCAATATTGGAAAAAATGTTTTTGTGTGTCTAGAGCAAGGTTTCTCAACCAAGATTCAATGGAACCCTGGGGTTCCTCCAGAGGTTGCTAGGGGTTCTTTGAGCAATGAGCAATTTCTGCCTCTCAAAGGGGTAATTCTTCCCAATGACCATAAGTGTAAGGAGCATTCCTCCCACTGACCATCCATGGAACCCTACGGTTCCTCCAGAGGTTGCTAGGGGTTCCTTGAGCAATCAGTATTTTCTGCCTCTCAGAGAAGTTCCCACTGACACCATTGATCTTTTTAGCTCTCTGTAAGGGGGGTAATTCTTCCCAATGACCAGAAGTGTAAGGAGCATTCCTCCCACTGAACATCATTGGAACCCTGGGGTTCCTCCAGAGGTTGCTAGGGGTTCTTTGAGCAATGAGCAATTTCTGCCTCTCAGATAAGTTCCCACTGACACCATTGCTCTTTTTAGCTTGTAAACAGGTGCCTACAGACAAGCTGTTATTAGTTAGGAGGCTGCCCTAGGCAGGAAAGGGTTAATACTAGGTCCACCAGTTTCCTGGGCTTTTTCTGGGCCTGCACTCCACCCTGTGGTACACATATATGGCAGAAGGCTTGACCTAAGAGAACTTCTGAGAAGACCACGTGGGCACCAGATACAAGGTCAACGCCAGAAAGATAACCTTCGACAAGCCAAGACCAACCCCCCCCCCCAAGGAACCATCAACACTACAATTGGACACTACATATCATGGACTTACAACTGTAGAGGTATGCCTGGGCAGCCACAGATTAGTTAAGAGAACCGTGTTTGCAGTTTGTAATATTGCAGCAGCGTTCAAGTTTTGTGTACTGTTCAAAAGCCTGGTCTGAAGTTACTCAAAGGGGTGCATGAAGGTATCTATAGGAGCAGGGCATGTAACGCACACATGGGGTAGAAGAGGAAGTCCATTACAAAAGGGGTACTCAGCAGGAAGGATGGAGGAGTGTAGTTGCTACGGGTGACCATGAACTGGTGAGCACTTGTAAAGCACCCAGTCAGCAGCAGTACTTGGTATAGGTGATGGGTCCTCCAGTAGTGAGGGGGTCTGTGCGCTAACTCCCTCCCTAGCGGTCAGCTCCCCTGATCTGTGGCTGTGACCGCATCCACAGCACAAAAATTCAGTTACCTGATCGAATGGTACGGAAGAGAGAAGAGTTAATGCATGCGGTCCATGCTAGTCCAAAGCGGGACCCCATTCGGTCACTGGGAGGAAGGTGGCAGAGTCATGTTGGATGGTGGAGAGGGCACAGGCTCAGTGGTGACCCCTCTAAATGCAATGCTTATAAGCAAAGGTGTGGAGCAGCACGAGATAGTACATTTTACAAAGAGACTCTGTAGGTCAAACAGCTGCATACAGCGCTTTAACAAGAACATGGCCCCACCTGGTCCCTCCCATTGATGAGCTCGTCCACAAAAAGAGGTACCCCCCACTCCCTGCCCACAAGCTATCTGTAAAGGGGTAATTCTACCCACTGACCCCCAATGTAAGGGACATTCGTTCCACTGACCCCCAATGTAAGGGACATTCTTCCCACTGATCACCAATGTATGGGACATTCTTCCCCACTGACCCCCAATGTAAGGAGCATTCTTCCCACTGACCCCCAATGTAAGGGACATTCTTCCCACTGATCACCAATGTAAGGGACATTCTTCCCACTGACCACCAATGTAAGGGACATTCTTCCCACTGACCACCAATGTAAGGGACATTCTTCCCACTGACCCCCAATGTAAGGGACATTCTTCCCACTGACCCCCAATGTAAGGGACATTCTTCCCACTGACCACCAATGTAAGGGACATTCTTCCCACTGACCCCCAATGTAAGGGACATTCTTCCCACTGATCACCAATGTAAGGGACATTCTTCCCACTGACCCCCAATGTAAGGGACATTCTTCCCACTGACCACCAATGTAAGGGACATTCTTCCCACTGACCACCAATGTAAGGGACATTCTTCCCACTGACCACCAATGTAAGGGACATTCTTCCCACTGACCACCAATGTAAGGGACATTCTTCCCACTGACCACCAATGTAAGGGACATTCTTCCCACTGATCACCAATGTAAGGGACATTCTTCCCACTGACCCCCAATGTAAGGGACATTCTTCCCACTGACCCCCAATGTAAGGGACATTCTTCCCACTGACCCCCAATGTAAGGGACATTCTTCCCACTGACCCCCAATGTAAGGGACATTCTTCCCACTGATCACCAATGTAAAGGACATTCTTCCCACTGACCCCCAATGTAAGGGACATTCTTCCCACTGATCACCAATGTAAGGAGCATTCTTCCCACTGACCATCACACTAGTGTATCATGAGTTGTAGATATAGTCATTTTTTAGCAAGGGGTTCACTATGCCCGGAAAGTTATTTTAAGGTTCCTCCGTGTTGAAAGGGTTGACAAAGGCTGGTCTAGAGGTCTGCTTTAGCCGCTCGATCTTTGCAGTCGGTGTGACTTGTATTTTGATATGGTGTCATGCCAAATATTCCTGACACCCTGTGCATCATATTTATGTCCACCAGTAATCCGACCCCGGGAACTTTCTGTCCTTCAGCGGAAAGGAATATGCAGCAAGATTTATATCTTGTCCTGTTCAAATGCAAACACTTGTCACTTGTAGGGATGAGAGGTAACAGAACACACGGAATCAGGAGGAATGTCTTTTTATTTTATTGGAAGCTCAACATCACTGTCAGCAAGCTCGCTGAGACAGATGAGCGGATGCGTCATTTGTTTTTTTCGTGGTTGACAATTGTAAGCTTTCGGTACAGTAAAGAGTAACACGTTTGACTGGTCTGGTCCATAAACCTGATCATTTGTCACCTAAAAGAAGCTCCTTTTGGGGCACCAAGCCTAGCGCGATTTTTTAAACGCTCGTTTTGCCGCAATTGCCGCATGACAATCGCAGCAGAATTGTACCGTTTGTGGTGCTATTATGAATGAAGGCATCCCAAATGTACATTGTGGGTTTGGCCGCAACTTGGAATTACAGGCAGGATCGTGGCGAAGCTTGGAGTGAGGAGCCTGGGAGGGGCCCCATGGAGGGGAGCCTACCTGCAGGCAGGATTCTGGAAGGGAGGATCTCCTCTATCCCACTGTCTCCTTGGGAGGACAACCTGTGAAGCAGGGAAGGAGCCATCCCAGCAAAAGATCTGAAGGCAACCACCAACCCACCAAGCCAGTAAGAAAGGACAGAGTGAGTGCTTCTACACCCCCCGGGCCAGATAAGGGGAGAAGACGGTCAGGTGCAATACCCAAATAGTCTTCATTCGGGGACTGCTTAACTGCAAGCTCTTGGGGCCCCTTTGCTCAGGCATACCCTAAGTACAGCTGGTTGGAGAGGAACATTCATCCGGGGTCTGGGAAGTTATACCAAAGAGCCTGTAATGCTCCTAATAAAGAGATTGTTGCTGTGTTTCTGCACATAGAAGCTAAGGAGTTGTCCTCAGGTTTTACAGTTCCGAGGGCATCCAATATCCCCCCAGACCCCGTCCAAGTTTCTGACCCCTAATAAAAAACCATACAACTAAGTTCCATGACTGTTCATTGACTTCAACTGTACAAATGTGGAAAATACATGTTGCTGGGTGGTGCAGAGCATAGGGGGGGCCCAAATCAAATCCACCATTCCTTTCCGAGGGTAGTGTTGCATTTAATAAAGGACTTGGGTGTCTATTTCTAGGAGAAATGTTTATTATGAATCAGTCGGGGTACTATGTATGTAGTCATACATTTGGGGGGGGGGGCAGTATCTAAGAGCCCCTTATTTTTTAGGAGGGCTTCTAGATTCCAATAAGTTCCCTACCCACAGACCCCCACAACCACCGGCCAGGGTTGTGGGGCAGAGGCCCTTGTCCTCAACATCATGCCCATGGCAAGGCAACCCCCATGTTGAGGGAATGTGGCCTCATATGGTTCAAACGCACACTCGTCCCCTAACGTTCCTGACCACCCAGGCTGCATGGTTGGATTAAGGGTGTGGTATGGATTTTTAGGGAGTCCTCACTTTTTTTTTTTTTTTTTGCACCTCCTAAAAATAATACCAGACTCATGGAATCTGGTAGACATTGGGTGTGTGTGTGTGTGTGTGGGGGGGGGGGGGGGGGGGGGGTTGCTTGTTGCATTTCTTTTTTTTTTTTTGCTGCAGGATGTGCTATACTGAAAACTGACATTTACGAAATTGACAAACAAAACAAATATACACTTTAAATTGCTGGCAAATGACATTTCCTTGCCAGCTTCTTTTTAATAAAAATGGCAAATAGACCCCTAAATATTTTTGACGTTAGTAAATGCAGGGGCGGGGGGTGCGCGCCACACCGGGTGACACCTACCACACGGGGTGACACCGGACCAGCGCCACAAAAAGGTAAGTTGTAAAGCCAGCCGACGATCCCCGCTGGATGGATCGGATCTGCGGATTGGGGATAATGGATAGGAGTCTGACCCATTATGCTCCCCAATCCGGAGATCCGATCCATCCTGCGGGGATCGTCAGCTTGCTTTACAACTTACCTTTTTGTGGAGCGGGTCCGGTGTCACCCCATATAGGTTGCATGCCGATGATCCCCCGCAGGATGGATCGGATCTGCGGATTGGGGAGCATAATGGGTCAGACTCCAATCCATTATGCTCAATCCGCGGATCCAATCCATTCTGCGGGATCGTCAGAGGGGGTGTCACCAAGTGTTACCGCACCGGGTGACACCATGACACCAACCCTAGGGATACCCCTGGGTACATGTTCCTCAGGGCAGTGCTACCCCCCCCCAAATGTTTTTTTTTTTACATCCTTTTCCCTATTAGCCCAGAAAATTGACCTTTTTTTTTTTTTAGACAGATTCAGTTCCAGTGCAGTTTCAACAGTTTGGGTTTGGCACCTGAACTTGTTTGAAGTTCACGAAACCAAGCTTGAATTGAACCCAGGTCAGTTTGTCTCATCTTTAGTCGCCATCAGAAACCCCACCCTGACAAATGCCATGCACTCATCACTGGAGTGTATGTAGATAGGAGGCGGCTGCAAAGCGGTGGCAGGAGATTAGCAGCACTGAGATGTAACAAAGGAGGAAAACAAGGAAATTATTAAAAAAAAAAGAAAATTGCAATTGTTAATAACACACAGTTTGAGTTTACATCCACTATGGGTAGAGAAAGGGTTTGTTCCCCCCCCCCCCCCCCCCCCCCGAGAACCTGTACTTTAATTAATGAGAATATAATGAAAGAATAACTCTCGGCTTAGAGGCAATGCCAATATTCTAGATGGAATTCGCCCAATTAATCATGGAGCTTTAAGCTCCACTTACCAGGAGCAGTTCCAGGCTAAGCGTATTAAGAGGGATCCCGGACAACCCGCTGCTCCGTATTATCGTCTCAATTACACACTTTCTTAAACAGTGCCGAGAAAATCTCCCCGGCCTTATTAGTCCGAGGAAAAGGTCACATCTCCGCGAGCGGCCTTTGACATTTTGCCGGTTTTATGCCGGCCCGGAAGCCGTATCGCACAATTGTGCGTCATATTCCTTTCAAGTCCAATACATTTCACATATAGTTACATAGTTAGTCTGGCTGAAAAAAGACAAAAGTCCATCCAGTTCAACCATAGCAAAAAAAAAAAAGTTATAATCCTACACCCACAGTTGATCCAGAGGAAGGCAAAAAAAAAACCAGCAAAGCACGATCCAATTTGCTCCTGCAGGGAAATAAAATCCTTCCTGATCCCCCGAGAGGCAATCGGATATTCCCTGGATCAACGTTCCCTATAAATGTTATATCCAGTTATATTCTGTGTATCCAAGAAAGAATCCAGGACTTTCCTACAGCAATCCACTGAGCTGGCCACAACCAACTCTGGAGGGAGTCTATTCCACATTCTCACAGCTCTTACTGTGAAGAAACCTTTCCGTGTTTGGAGATTACATTTCTTTTCCTCCAGATGTAAACGCGCCCCCTTGTCCTCTGTGATGACCTCAGGGGGAATAACTACACCGAGTTCACTATATGAACCACTGATGTATTTATACATGGAGATCATATCCCCCTTATGTATTATACATGGAGATCATATCCCCCCCCTTATGTATTATACATGGAGAACATATCCCCCTTATGTATTATACATGGAGATCATATCCCCCCCCCCTTATGTATTATACATGGAGAACATATCCCCCCTTATGTATTATACATGGAGATCATATCCCCCTTATGTATTATACATGGAGATCATATCCCCCCTTATGTATTATACATGGAGATCATATCCCCCCTTATGTATTATACATGGAGAACATATCCCCCCTTATGTATTATACATGGAGATCATATCCCCCTTATGTATTATACATGGAGATCATATCCCCCTTATGTATTATACATGGAGATCATATCCCCCCTTATGTATTATACATGGAGATCATATCCCCCCTTATGTATTATACATGGAGATCATATCCCCCCTTATGATAATTAGGAATCTGCTTGCGCTCCTATGTAAAATACAATTGGTAAAACGTGTGAAGCTGCTAACATCTGATCCAATACCCCAAGATCAAAACAATGCAGAAGAAATACAAATGATGTAGCGCTAAAACACCCAGTAAAAGCGTCAGTGCCTTAGGACATGCAGCAGATGTTAAAATCCTATATGAACATAATACATATATGTGCGTGATGATACTGACAAAAATGGAAAACAGATGTGTAACCCCTACACACAGTGCACATATATGAATATAAAGTCCAGTGATCCTGTATCAATATTTGCACTCAAACAGAGTCCTTGGACTGTATGTGGGCCCGCACACCACCACGTGCAATCCGAAATCAGCTGAAGTGGCCTCTCACCTCCTCCCTGCGACCCTGCAGGGCCACAGAGCTTTATCAGATCCCCACTGAGTCAAGGTATGCTTCTTCTTGAGTGGATGGTTGGTATATCCCCAGTATACAGCTTCCACCTCTCCTGTGGTATCCTCCGAGGTGAGCTGAGCAGGATGCACCCCAGCTCAAGCCCCCATGGGATAAAGGAAGCAAAAGACATCCTCCATAGTGTAAAACCGTTTAATAAATGCCGGAAAATAAATATATAATACACTCACATTTGCCAAATAACATACAAGCTGTTTCCCATAGCATGGGTGTATGCGTGTGGCTGAGGGTGTACCAAGATGGCGCCGCGCCGGAAGTGCGTCACC